AAGACTTTAAAAAGTTACAAATATATGCATTGCACAAATGGTAATTGACCCATCATCAGTGAGCCAACAAAATCTGGCATCATCAAACTCTATTGATAAATGGCATCTTAAGAGACCTTTGGCAACAGACATCTGGCTTTATCTTCCTAATTATCTGTGTTACATGCCATAATGTTTAAAATATTAATAAAACTAGAAAAAAGACTAAGTCATGGCTCTGATTCATAAGAATTGTAATATGATAAATTAGGAAATCCTGCACATTGTTTTTTAATTTAATTTTAATTTTATTTTAGATTTAGGGCACACATGCAGGTTTATTACATGAATATATTGCATAATGTGAGGTTTGGGTTTCTAGTGTGCCCATCACCCAAATAGTGACTATTGTACCCAATAGATAATTTTTTCAATTGTCACCTGCTACCAACCTTCCCCCATTGGAGTCCCCAGTGTCTATGTTTCCATCTTTATGTCTATATGTACCCATTGTTTAGCTTCCACTTATAAGTGAGTATTTGGTTTTCTGTTCCTGTGTTATTTTGTTTAGGACAATGGCCTCTGACTCCATCCTTGTTGCTGCAAAGAACATAATTTCATTGTTTTTTATGGCGGCATAGTAATCCATGATGATATATACCATATTTTCTTTACCCAGTCAACTGTTGAGGGACAATTAGGTTGATTATAACTTTCCTATTATAAATAGGCTCCTGAACATTTTGATTCCAGCAGAGTTCATGGAATTGAATGCTGATGACAGATTGTTAATATCCAACAATCTTATTCATCTTTAGCTATTTACTAAGCAAAGTGAAAAAGAATGGCAATACTTGCAAGTTTCTGATATAGGATACTATATTAGGAGATCAAGAACTTCAACTTATTAAGAAAAAGATAATCTGTATTTTTGACTGGGTATCTGGCAATCTAATGAGTTTATAAATACCTATACAGAAGAAGCTGTAGTTGAGAATCAACTAGAATACATAGTTTAACAAAAAATGGAGCCCAACATCCAGAACAAGAGAAGCAAAATACCTCGTTCTGGAATCTTTCAACAAGTCTCTTGCAGTAACTGAAAAATTCAGACACATTGTTCTGAGTCATGAGAAATAACGCTTATACATCAATGGAAACCTGTCTTACATATTTTTTTTTAAAAAGAAATGTTTTTATATTTATTAAGAATAATATGTTTGAAGCTGTCTCTTCAGATCTGTCATACTTAGGATTTTTCTCAAGAGATAGAAGACTTAGGGAATAATATTAATTTCATAAATTTCAGGATGGTTTCTTCTATGTCTTGCCAGGAATGCAAAAACAAACACAGTGATTTCTCCATTTGGAGCTTATCTAGCTGTTCCTTCTCATATGAATACATATTCATGGCACATATAATCCCGCCTTGTAGATCATATAGCAAGTGTTTGAAGACAAGGTTTTAATTTTTAGATAAAACACAAGTGATAGACTAAGCAAATATCACATCAATCCCAAGGACAAAATAATACAAATATTATGATGATTTATTTATTTTTTATGGCTTAAGCAGCAAATCGGAAGTTTGCATATTCCCAGGTAAATTTGAATCTAGTCTAAATGTCAATATTGATATTGATAATCAATTCTCACTTGATTGAATATTAGGAAAACTGTCAATAGTGTCTCTCTTAGTTTTGCTTAGCTGGCACGAAAACTGCCTGTAATTGCTTAGCACTTGCCATTGTCATCTCCCATGAGGTTCTATTCCAGGGATGGTAAATTTCTGACATACGACCCTTTTGTAGTTATTGTATCAAAGCATCTTTACCTGTCGAGCCTAGAAGTGACCGCAGAATCTTCTTCAACACACTTGAATCTGCCATTGTTGGTTGATTGCCATTTGTATATAAGATGAAACTTATTTGTCCTCTCTGACAAAGCATAAAATATTGTCACATTTTTATTTAAGCAATTTATGTCACATAAATAAAAATATATTTTATTTAATATATTTTATTTTATTTAAGATTACTTGCATATTTAATTATTTACAATATAATTGTGAGCAGATGGCAGCATACAAGTTATCCACTTATGCTGTGTGAGAGGAAGTAAGATCTTGCTTGCAGACTGCTCCTGGTGGGATATATTATGATCAATGTCTAGACACTTTCCATTTTTCAATTTTATGAATGACCTCCTTGCAGAAATGCCAATGCAGTGCTTACATGTTATGGGGTGCCAAATCAATTAGAACAAGTCAAAGAGATTTGTGAACAGACACTAATTTGCTCACATTTTAGTGACTTTTGAAAAACTGACTTAAATTTAAGAGCAAGGTCACTAACACAAAATGACTTTTTTTTTTTCCTTGTTGAAAGAATAAAATCTGAGTATTGTAGAAAAAGTAGCTTCAGAAGGTCTAGGACTTTGGAAAACTTTCCCAGAGACATTTTGACAGACGTATGTGTTGACAGGTAGACATGTTTAATTATATCTGTTGTATTTCTCCTCCAGATTTTAAAATACTAGGAAAACCACTGGGTCAGGTGTGAGACCAATGCTTAGGTAGAACCTGAAGTTTCATTTCTGCTCAGTTACTTGACTAGAAAAATTTTTTCTAGAGTAAGGTGTGAGGCCCATTTTGAACTTAGATGACATTTATATCAGTTCATTCTCAGGCTGCTGTGGAGAACAGCCTGAGATTGTATAATTTATTAAGGAAAGAGATTTAATTGACTCACAGCTCCACATTGCTGGGGAGGCCTCAGGAAACTTACAATCATGGTGGAAAGCAAAGGAGAAGCAGGCACCTTTTTCATAGGGCGGCAAGATGAGTGAGTGCAAGTAGGAGAAATGCCAGATGCTTATAAAACCACCAGATCTCAGGAGACTCACTCGTTATCAGAACAGCCTAGGGGAATCTGTCCCCATGACTAAATTACCTCCACCTGCTCCCACCCTTGAACTATAGGGATTATGGGGATTACAATTCAAGGTGTGATTTGGATTGGGACACGGAGCCAAACCACATCAACTTGTGTCTGTTTATTTTTCCATATTAGAGTCAATGAGTTAATAAAATCATTTCTAGGTAAAGTAGATGTTGAAATCAGTCATGGAGAACATGTGTGGTCATATTCGATGAGATTGAGATTATATTGCTAAATACCATGATTGAGTCTGATTCTACTAAAATACTATAATAAGCTGCCAATCATGTCAATTTTTCCCCCACTTTCAATATAGGATAATTAAAAATATAAGATTTTATTCTCAATGATGACTGCCTCAATGCAATTATTCTAATTCCAATGGCTGAATAGATGGTAGTCTACAAATATAGACAGCAGAGAATCAAAACCACCAATCTTTCAGCCACAGATTAATAATTAATGTTTATAATATAGTTTAGATATGATTCAAATTCTCAGATTACTACAATCTTATATTTTTGTTTAACTCTGGACAAAGCTTTGTACTGGTATGAAGTGGTATAAAATATGTTACCCTTTAGGAAAAATTTAACTTACCAGGGTTATGTCTGTTCCTGTGGATTCCTTATCCCAATTTCTTATATTCTAGGAAAAGTCACACTAAGCAAATGGCTAAAGAGCACCATTTCATTGGATAGCTAGTATAAAAACATATTTTAGAGTTTCTTTTACTTTCCAAAACTTTTCTAGAGCCTATAGGAAAACATTCCAAGAAGTTGTGTTTAATTTTATTAGTTTTTTGGGACAACATCTAAACATTAGTCCTTAACTTTTAGATCTGGAAAATCCTAATCTTTTTGTCTATATGCCTTCAAATCTAAATTCATTTAGTTCTTCCTTATTACTCTAGGCAAAATGATCTAAATGCTAACCCTTTGTTGTCAACTGCTGATTTATTAACATGTAAACATTGGCTCCCTTACCTCCATATCTCTACGAAAATACCCATCTCAGACCTGGGTTTCAACTCCAGCAGTAGCAATGGCTGCATGACCAAATGGTGTATTGAACACTCTACAAATAATGACGGTAAGAGGAATACATCAGGAATAAAGCTGAATCCTTTGCCATCAAGAAATTCCCATTTTTTTTT